ATCTACATGGTTCAGCCAGTGAGACAGGATGGGAGGTCCCTGGAGAGCAAGAGGGGCAGGAGGATCCTGTTTTCCCATTAGCCTGCTCATCGTCCTCCCCGGATGAGGCCTTTTGCAGGCACCTCTGTCTCTGGACCGCACCCACCAGGACCTCCTTCGCAGGGTGACACGCAACATGGATCTGCAGGCAGAGGAGGTGGTGGAGTTGGAGGACCCGGTTGACATCTTGGCCCCGGAAGGTCCTTCAAGGGTGACTCTACCCCTCATTAAGACCATACAGGCCAATGCCAAGACCTTCTGGCAGACCCCGGCCTCCATCCCTTCCACTGCCAAAGGCTTTGAAAGGAAATACTTCATCCCATCAAAGGGGTATGGATATCTCTTCATGCATCTGCAGCTTTGCTCATTGGTGGTAGCAGCAGTGAACAACAAGCCCCAGCGTCTAAGTCCAAGGATGCCAAGCGCATGGACTTGTTTGGGCATAAAATGTACTCGACGGGGAGGAGGTTGGGGGGGCTGGAACTCAGGATTGCCAATCAGCAGGCCATTTTGAGCAGGTATAGCTTCAGCTCCTGGAACTCGATGCTCAAGTTCAAGGAACTGGTGCCAACTGAGTCAAGGGAGGAGTTTGGAGCTACTGATTTCGTTGGGGTTGCTCCTGATTTACACTGCTACAAGGGAGGAGAGACAGGCATAGGCACTGACTCCGTGAGTGCTCCAAGGCTCAAGCACCCATGGAAAAAAATAGTGGGGATAGTCAACACCCACCAGCCACAGCTATTCAGCTAGGCCGCCATTCAGCTGTTCGGCAGCTGGCATGGGGATTTGGGGAGAGGGTGGAGCAGAGGCAGGAAGAGGTGGAGTTAGGGAGGGGGTGGAATGGGAATGGAACACCCACCGGGAAAAATAAAAGTCAGTGCCTGTGACTTCACATCAACATCAGAGAGCTCAGGGCAGTTCGTCTGGCGTGTCAGGCAGACAAGCCTGCACTGCTTCCCACAGCCCCCATTGGCCTGGAACGGCAAACCGCGGCCAGTGGGAGCTGCGATCGGCCGAACCAGTGGACGCAGGTAAACACACCGTCCCGGCCCGCCAGCAGATTTCCCTGATGGGCTGCGTGCCAAAGGTTGCTGATCCCTGGTCTATACCATTGTACTAGAATTCTCTTGGACATCCTGGCCCACAATATTTGGAATGCTGAAAAAAGTCATGGCCTGTCTGGTAAATGGTCTGTATTTCAAAGTTATGATATCCTGAGTTCAACCAGGGATGGAAAGGAATGCTACACACCACAACTTGCCTATAATTTTATAGGTTTGCTGTAGCCCTATAGAGGCACAAGATATCTGATCTTAGTCACATCCTTCTGTTCCCTGTCTTGTTTCCTGCCACCACAAATCAATTAATACTTGTGACAGCTATCTCAAAAACTACCTGAGTCATTACAGTGGCATCATCCAGTGCTTAAAGTGGTTGAGTGTATGTCTTTGAAGAGGCATGTCTGCTGGCGCCTAGGCTTGTATGGATAGTATTCTGGTATACAACTGAATATGCTGTTGATAAATTATTTAACTTTGGGTAAGATAAATTCATGTTATAATAGTATGCCATCTTTAATGTCAATACTGTTTTATAGCATTTTCTGGGTGAACTGACAGCTGGAAAAGTGGTGCCAAAAACTTTTTATTCCTGTAGTTGACGATTCCTATTTGGCTGGTTATTTGAAAAAGCTTTATACTGCTAAAGTGTCGATGCAGAAATCATACTGACAGGTAAGAACACTCATTTTAAACTTCTGTTCTGTACCACTGCAGGGAAACTTCAAAAGGAAAAAATGGGCAAGTGGTTGGGTGGGGAGGGGCGGTTAAATGCTGGGAAGCTGCATCAGTATTTAGCCAGATCTCTGCTGGCATCAGCAATAGTGCTATATGTTGATCACCTCAGAGGCTGATGAAAAAAATGTCTCCCCTGGGCTTACTCTTCCTAGGTAGTAAAAATGAGGCATAAGCCATAGACTAATTTAAGAAATGTAAATTGCAATAAAACAGTGGAACTGGGATGACATTTGTTTAAGAGTTCAGAACAAACTACTGAACTAGGTAGCTGAGCTACTAATAAGGGCAAAATCCTATACTCTACAACTCCGCTAAAAACACCATACTTTCAGCTGAGAGAGGAGCTGCAGGTTTGGCCCCCAAAATGTAAGTTCTGTTACATATATTCTTGAACAGTGGTTGGTGATACTGAAAGTTATAGAGTTAGGTTCTTAACTGCCATTTGTGCCTTTGAAAATCTCTCCCTAAATCTTCAGTGCCAAAATACTTCTCCAATAGGTGCTTTAAAATTCTAGCACCAATTGCTTGTTTTTAACTATTACATGACAGGGACAATCCAGTATGGCTGTTGTAACAGTAAGTGTGACTCTTCATTTTATTAGCCATTAACAGAATAGTGAATAAAATAAAACTGATGGATGTGGGATGCTTAGATATCCAAAAGATTTGTGCATCTCCTGTTCACAAAGCTATGAATGAAATTTGGTAACTCTGGGATAGGATGTAGAGTCCTATTCTGGATTTTAAAACTAGTTAAATATTTATTCTTACCCTTTGCTTCCTATGTTTTAATTACACCTCTACCCCGATATAACGCTGTCCTCGGGAGCCAAAAAATCTTACCGTGTTATATCGAACTTGCTTTGATCCGCCAGAGCACGCAGCCCCCCCCCCCACCCCCGAGTGCTGCTTTACCACGTTCTATCTGAATTCGTGTTCTATCGGGTCGCGTTATATAGGGGTAGAGATGTATTATAAAGGATAGACGGGGTGCCCTAGAGATCAGTACTAAGACCTATGGTCATATCTGCAGCTGGTGTAAATTGTGGCATAGCTCCATAGACTTTCGTGGAGCTATGATGTACTTTGAGATCTGCCCCTTAGTGTATAGTAATTAAATAACTTAAATACGAGTTGCCAATTTATTGACTCAACTAGGGGACTGAGATACCTCAGAAGGCTCCAATAAAATAGACACTGGGCAACATGTCACATTAAAAGGAACTATTTAAACAAATCAGATCTCTTAGGTTTGTGGATTGGTTTGCTGATAAGTTTTTCACTCAGTGCCCAGCCCTGTAAATAAGATACTTGGCACCATTAAGAGAATGGAAAATAAGACTGAGAACACAGTGAAAATTAGTGTCACATGCTGATAAGAGATCAGAAAAACTAGTTTGGCAAATAGAATTGTGACGATGTATGGCAGATAGCATATACAATATTAAGCTTTAAATCTTGAACCCTAGAAATGTGAGAAACTCCTTCTTTTGCCACTTATAATGGATAGCCATGTGTGCTGTCCCTAAATCTGAATGGCTGGCAGCTACTACATTAGTTTTTTTCAGTAAAGAGGCCTTGAGTTTGTGATTTGCTTCTTTCTAAGCCAGCCTGAATTTAACTTTCAGGGCACTATGAAAAGCTAATCCTTTTATTCTTTGCCTAGTGTCAGTAAATTCATGCTGTATGCTGGATGTAGGGAGTCTAGTTTACTTTTCAGAAGTATTAAATATTGTTTGTACATTTGCCTAAAGAAGCTGTGGTGGGTGAATTTTTAAATGTGAAAACAAATTAAATGAAAGGTAGAGAGAATTAGAAGCATTTTGCCCTTTCCCACAATAAATTATCAAAGATATTTTTTTTTTAAAAATAAAAAATATCCTTTTAAGAGCTAGCTAGCTATTACCATTTTATTGACTGTATAATCAGTAGAGCTCATGATAGTCTGAAACTGAGATTAAAAAGCTGCTTACAATTGAGGAGTTTAAACTCAGACAGCAGAGTGGTTCAACATACATACATCTTATCTTTGAAGGAGGAAAGATGACCACTGGAAAGTAGAAAATTTAAAATGAGGTGGCTGACAGTGCACACTTGGTCTATCTGCAGTAATGTGTGTATATGTAAATGTCCTAGACGCTCTCTGGAAATCATTTATAGCAATCTTAGTGGTGGATTTGAGCTGTGGTCTCTTGAAGTAAAAGCTAGTGTCGTATTCTTAAAGGTACTAAACCTTCCTAACTATACCATAATACACCTCTACCGCGATATAATGCAACCCGATATAACACGAATTCGGATATAACGCGGTAAAGCAGTGCTCCGGGGGTGGGGGGGGGAAGGGTAGAGGGAGGGGCTGTGCACTCCAGTGGATCAAGGCAAGTTAAATATAACGCGGTTTCACCTATAACGCGGTAAGATTTTTTTGGCTCCCGAGGACAGCGTTATATCGAGGTAGAGGTGTACTAAAAAGAGAGAGACTGTAGTTTTAAAAGTATCATTACTAGCTGATGAAGACTTCCTAGAATATCTCTCACCCCTTGCCTAACTTGTCCCAGCAATACTTTGTGCTGTTTGCTAATCTGTGTTAAAATGTTGTTTGGATTTTTCAAACCTGCTGTTGATTATTCACCAGTCTGTTTGTTTATTTATTCCCTGTTTCATATCTCTACACACCCATATTCACATTTCAAATAAATTCTGGGACATTGCAATGCACCTTCTTTGCAGATTCCCTAGGGTTGGTGAGTATTCTTCACTTTGTTCTAGGTCTCTTAACAGAGAGTCAGTACTGTGGGTTCTCCAAAGTCCAGACTTCCAAAGTTTTCCCTTTAGTTTCTCTGTGGCTTAGTTGTTCTAAATTTTTCTTGCATTTTTCCCCTTATATGAATCAACCTTTTAAAAATGTTTATAACTAAATATAGTTCACAAATCAACAACCTTTAGCTGTAAACATACCTACTGTAATATTTTTGGTACTCAGTCTGTACAATAATTCAATATTATCCATTACAGTAAGATAAAGTTTTGAGCTGTTCCACATATTGAGCATGTTAAAGGTAATTGTCTCGAAGGAAAAGCACAGGTAACTGCTTGAATGATCACTTTGTGAGTGTTTAGCACTCAATAAAAACTTATTTCAGCGTAGTTAAAATACATTTTAAGTAAACTTTAAATCACAATTTTATTTACATAGTACTAGCTCCTTAGAAATGTAAGATTATAAAATAGAAAGTAAAGAAAGAGGATTATTTGAACTTATTTCTTTATCTGAATGTCTGCTAACAAATAGAAAAAATCTCTAGTTTCCTAAGAAATTTATGCCAAAAAAGACAAGTCCAGGCAGTGAGACCACCACAGACTCTCACACAAAACAGATAAACAACTAGCTAGTGCTATATTTGCAACTAACACTGCCTTCTGCTATAAATCCGGAAAGCTGAAATCATTCAACCACACTATTCTCCTTAATCAGGGCTAGTAGTTTGAAGTCACTTGGGTGGGATTTTCAGAAGGACCCAGTTGTGTATATAATAAGGATTTAGAAGACTGTTAGTCTCTTATTTTGGAAAATGTTCGCATGGGTGTACAAATTAAATCTAAATAACTTTTCAGCATTAACCTGAAGCAATTTGATACTTCTTGGGAGCACTAAAAGATCACTGAAGTTTTTAGAAAAAAAAAAAGACAAATGACAAAGTTTTGCCTTGAAATTGCAGTATGCGTGATTGTGTTGTGAGGTATTTTATTCCCTTTTGTTGTGAGCAATACTTAAACCATTTTATACATAGTGTAAGGACAAGTGATTAACAAATCCAGTAGCTACACAATAAAAAAAATTGTGGTAGAATAATCCCCACTCCTTTCTTTGTGGTTCCTGTATTTATCCAAGCCCCCTTGGCTTCATGCATTGTTCCCCGAAAGGAGCCCTTAACTGGGATAGAGCTGTGTGTTTAGTAGGTTGAACCTACATTTATAATATAAACAACAAAGAAAATTGACTGATCACTGTAGAGTGATTCCTGACAAATTCTTGAAATTCTGATTGGACCAATGGATGATCCAAAAATGCTGTTAGATAAAATACGTAGATAATTATGCCAAATGGAGTAAATGTCTCAGCTGCTTTGTATAGCTTTCACCCTCTATATATAACAGTCATCATCTGTTGAGCTGTTAGTAGTACCACTCTAGAGGGAGTAGAGTTTCAAAAAAGTTTGTAGACCACTACAACTCCTCCGTGAAAAATGAAACAGTTGCACTCAGATGCAGTCATCATGAAAGCTTGGGAAAGTAGTACCATCAGTTTATAGTGTTTGAGTCCACTTTAATTACCAAAAACACTCTTCAGTTTACTCAGTCACAAATAGCTGTGGTTCTTACAGCATACAGGTTTTGTCAAGTTTGTAAAACAAACGGCAAAACACCACAGCAGCCTTTAATTTCTCCTTGTACACACCATTCACAGTACATTAATAGCCCAAATAATATTGCACCAATCATTTTTAAAACTAGTCATCTTGCAAGTAGTATTCCCTGTTCAAAACTAACAGACACACAATTTTGGTCAACTTGCACCCAGAAAAAGGCAAGATAAATCCTATAGTTCATTTATACTATATGTATATGTAACCCCAAAATGAAATGAGATTGTAAACTGTTTAAGATAGAAAATTAGTAATTCCTTGAATAGTATGTAGAAAGATTGAAAAATTAAATCTGAAAATTACCTCACTGCTGTTATACTGTGTATCTTTATAGTGTATACTGTGAAAATCCAGCAGTCTACAGATAGTCATGTTAAAAAAAAGTTTATGAAAAGAGAAGAAATAGCATTTGCCTCACTAGAGACTGTGAAGTTACAAATTAGTTTGCACTGTTTTTCAGGTGCAATCTCTGAGGCAAGGAAATGTCTTTTGGCATTTGGCACTCGAATAAGGACAATATTTTAATACTGGCACAAGCTAAAAAACAGCACACAGAATGACAAAAAATACAGGACATGAAACTAGTTGGAAAGTGTGAAAGACTTAAGGTTAAACAGTTTTGCTGAGGCAATCAAAGTTGCAGCAAAACCATTTGTGGTGCTGTTTTTAAAGAGTTCTACTAAATTTTAAGGAAGAAAATATATTCAAATGTCCTCTAGAAAAGCAGCAACTGCTAGAACGGTCAACTTGGTGCGTGTTTAGCCATCAATACACATGAGACTCTTTATGACTTAGAACACGGGTGCGTGAGGCAGAGCTGGTGGCACTTCGGATCACTTCCATCCATCTGTGGGGGAAAGATAAAATGAGGTAAATAGCCAAGGAAGGCTTTCTGAAAATGTACACTGTTAAACTACACTATACTGTCCATTCTTATTTTCAGGCTTCATAGGATGCTCTTCCCAATTTACAGCTGTGAACTGGTTTTAACACATGCTCTCCTTCTGAAATGAAGGTAGGACAGGTATCTTGTGAGTCCCATCACCAATTGAGATGGGTTAATTTGAAGCAGTATTATAGGGAAAAGGTACTTGCTATAGAAAAAACAGATGTTTGGTTGATATTTGATCCCAGTTGGTATAATTCTCAGGTATTAGAACAATTTAAGGGATTTTTTTTAACACATGATCAGCCCACTCGACACAAAAAAATTCATATTAACAATATAATGCTTTAAATGAGGCACTTCCAAACTTTGCTGGTTCACATTACACACATCATCTTTGCTTTAGCCCAACCAAGTTTATTCTTGGTGAAAGCAAATTCAGTGGAGCGTTGAGGGTAGTACCAGTTTTCTGGCCTATTAACACCCTGTCTCTCTTCTGGTGATTTGGAATTGTGGGGTGTGCAAAACTGTGTTGCATATACACTGAGCCAGATAGGTATAGCACACAGGCAGGCAAACTATTTGGCCTGAGGGCCACACTGGGTTTTGTATGGAGGGCCAGTTAGGGCAGGCTATGCTTCCCCAAACAGCCTGGCATGGCCCAGCCCCCGCCCCCCATCTGACCCCCCCCTCCCCCCCAGGACTGCTGCCCCATCCAACACCTCCTCTGGGACCCTTGCCCCATCCAACCAGCCCCCTTTCTGTGACTGCCCCCAGAATGACAGGCTCCTGCCCCTCCTTGACCCCTAACCCCTGTTCACCACCCTGAACTCCCCTGCCCTCTGTCAAACCGCCCCGGTCCCTGCCTGGAGCACCAGTGGCTGGCAGTGCTTCTGCTGTGCCGCGCAGCTGGAGCCAGCCATGCTCCTACACAGCACTGAGCACCAGGTTAGGCACTGCAGCCCTGCCCGAGCGCACAGCCCTACTGCCCAGAGCATGGCAGAAGCTGCAGGGGAGGGGCCAGGGGCAAGCCTCCCTGGACAGGAGCTTAGGGAAGGCAGGAGGATCCGGCAGGCCGTACTTTGCCCACCTTCGGTATAGCAAGTGAAGCAACTAACATCATTATTTGCATGGAGCCCCAGTCATGGACCAGAACCCCACTGTACAAACAACAGAAAGATGATCCCTGCCCCAAAGCAGTTATAAAACAAGAGATACATCTGGGGTGATGCAGCTTAGTTACATGTATATTGCATAGCTACTGCATGCTAGCTAGGTGGATGGCTATTTTATACTCCATAAATAAAATGTACTGATGCACATTACCCTGCCTGTGTTAGTGCTGCACATTTAGCCAGATGGTTTTTAAGTGAACTAACTTTACTTTTATTTCTGGTATATAACTGGAAGTTTGGTGAATAGAGCTTTTGCTCAAAAAATGTGTGACAGCTTAGAGAGCTGGCTCCCATTTGCTGCCTCCTGGTACCTTACTTTGCTACAGCATCTTCAATTTGCTAAAGTAGTGTAATGTTCTAACCATAATGAATGAGTTGGCTGTTTTGAGTCTTGCAACAGTTCACTTTGCTTGCATTTGACCTAACATCATTGGAATGACCTAGCACAAAACTGACATACCTTTCAAATGTGTATTCACTTTCAGCCCTGAAGTAGTACACGTGGGATTTGAAATGTAACTTGAAAACATAATCTTTGTGAATGTTCTCAGATTCAGAAGGAATGGTAAGTGAATACCCCAGGAGAGGAAGACTGGCTAAAGGATGATTGTCCTAGAAACAAAAGATAAAAAATGCTGTGACATCAAGTGCACTCTGGGCTACAAACCTTCAACTATAGAAACACATTAAAAATTTCCCACACTTACATGGAAAAATATTTGTTTTATCAACAGGTCATGTTGCACAGATGTGGCTTTATTTAATGAGAACAAATCTATACTGTGTAATGTCAAAATGAACATTCACTCACTCGCTTACAGTACTAAACCTAATCCCCCTATTGTTGCTACATGCAACCCATCTTAAATAAGAGGGCCCTATGCATTTTGTAAAGCCGTGATGTTTATTTTTCCACAAAGGGTGTATTATGCTCAAATAGCCTCATCCCAACAAAAAAGTGTTTAGCAGCAATAGGGTGGTGTAGCTGTTTCTAAAGAGCACCCACCATCAATCTTCCTTGCATCATTTAAAAGCTACTTTCTAGCTGTAAAAATCCTATTGAACTGTCACCTGCAAAGGTAACTACAGGATGTAACAAGCATTTCTTCTTTGAGTATTTGGCTACATGGAGTCCACTCTAGGAGCTTATGCACTATATAAGAGTCCTTTGGCTGTCAGGGCCACACGTGTGCCCTGCATGTCCTTGAGTCCCTCAACCAAGGGCAGCACATCCCTAAACACCTCTCATTTCCAGATGAACTTCTCACTCCTTTGCTACCCTGTGGTTACAGTGATTTCTTATTGTCCCTGGAGTAGTTAATAGTTTTTTAGCATAAAGAAAAAAAGCTTAAATTGCTTTAGGAAATTTACCTTGGTTCTGAGTCACTACTACAGTGGCCAAGTCTCCAGGCTCTAAAACCTGTCAGAACAGGTGTTTATAACTGCCTACCTTACAGAGGCACGTGTCTGAAAAGCCGCTTTTGACACACACCCAAAACGTGAGATGCTTGTTTTAAATTTTTTTTTTTTTTTTGTCTAGAGTATGTGATGGAGAGGGGATGTTAGGTTCTGAGACCTTGTCAGAAAGAAACTCCTACCAACTTCAGAGCTACATTCAGTTAGTGCCTCAACTGCCTGTGAGGTTACTCCCAGCTCCTGCGTCTCTTCAGGTTAAAGAAGACCTGGCTCCTCAATGGCTGCTGCTTCTTTAGCACTGAATCCCTCAGGTCAGTCACTGGCTCCTAGTGCCCATAGTAGAAAAGGAGCATTGCTCCTGGCACTCAATCATCATCCTTGCTACGGGTTAGAAAGTGAAAACAAACATACCATAGTACTGGCTCCATCTTTGATCAGCTGCTTATGACTCTGCACTATTCCCCTTTAGCTACAGTCATCTCCCTACTGTTCAGTTGCTCCAGTTCCACACCTTGACAAGAGACATACACCAGCCCCTATTTCGGTACTAAAGCCACCACTATTTCAAGCAAGGGTACTGTCAACCTTAGCACTGACTACTTTGTCTGCATCTGGAGAGCTGATGATTATGCTGGAACTTAAACCTCCCCTACTTGATATTTCTCCCTTGTCAGTGACTGCTCAGTCTCTCTGGAGCCCTGGGTTTTGATAAAGCATGGTTACTTCCACTATGCTAACTGATTCTTCTTGTGCTGTTCACACATCTGCTACACTTGGTGCACAAGATTAAATAGTGTCAATTGCGGATATGCCTGTGCCCTGAGAGCCATCACAACCCCTGTAACTGAGCATTTAAGGGGCAGGATGGTCTCAACTATCAATTCCTTTAGTAGTAAAAATCCAAAGTTTCAGGATGGCGAGTAGCAGAGCCAGAGAGCAGGTCATGGACTCTGCCTATACAACCTCTTGAAAGAATTCGAGTGGTTGTCCACACTGATTCCACTCTTGGTGACTAGCAAGCAGTATCCTTGCTTGGAGGTAAGAAAGAGGAGTCTTATTGAAATATTGACTTGAGTACCACTCTGCCAAAGCTTGCATTTGATTAATGTGTGGACTGAATTTAGAGGGGCCAAAGGTGTTCATATAACCCAGCCACTGTCCAACAACAGGGTCCAGGGTTTGATATCCTGCTTAGTACCATAGCAAATATACCATTAAAAATATCTTTTAGCCATTTGTTCCTTCTTTTCTGTATCTTTAACAGTTAAAACTTTTGAAATGTAAAGCATTAAATAAGGCTTTCATTTTAACAAAAATCCCTTATTCGCTTTTGCTGGAGGGAGTTTTAGAAGGAAAATCTCCCTTAATTGACAGTCTCTCCACATGCTATCAAAGATGTCCTTTTGAGTAAAAAGAAGAAAGCTGAGATGAGGAGTTGCTGCTGCTGAGTCCAATTCTGTTTCATCCTAGATGGTGATTGAGATACAGCTGGAACTGGTGAGGTCATCTGGATCCGTCTCCCTGGCCTGGTCTGGTCAGGGCATCTCTCAGGATCAGCATGAGACAAGTGTGGGGGCCCAAGAAGTGGGAGGGGTGGCAGCCATGATGGTGAAGCTTGCTTCAGTAGCCTCCAACTGTTCCTTCTGCCCTTCTCCCCACAAAGTCTCTTTCTTTAAGATGCCAAAAGGGGTATGATGAATGGAAACGCCCATCCACTCATTATTTTGTCCACCAATTAAATCCATTTCTATAAGGCCAGACCTGACGTAGGTAACTTTGTTTCCGCATTTTCTTCTTTACCAAGTATGATCTCACCCCAGTCCTTGACATTTCAATAGGCCACTTCTGTTTGGACTAATTCAATCTCTCTGGCTCCCTTGCACCTGTTTATAACATTCTTTATTGAAAATAGCTTGACCTACTTTCCATGATAAATTCCTAAGCAGGACGTGTGTAAGTGCTGGAGACTAAATAAAGTAGAAGGTTTGAGTGAAAAAACTTTTGTTTGCCTGCTTGCATGACCTATCTATCGGCCACATGGCTATGTCCCCATTGATTTATTTCCTGCCACTGCCTCACAAAGAGTAAAGTTACCAAGAGTTTTGGGTTCAGTATAACCCTGGTTAACATCCTTGCCTGTTAAGGTAATGCATTTGCGTAGTATTGTCTGTAAGCACTTACTTGGCAAGACCCCAAAAGAGATGTAAGAATGCTCTGCACGCCAAATATCTTGGATTTCCAGCACATTGATATGAAGAAAACAAGAGGTGACCACTTTCCACAGTTCTCCAGTAGGTCCTGGTTTGCTCCCCACCCCTGCATGGAAGCATCCATGATCAGAATCTTCACAGGAAGAGATGCAGACAATGGAACTCCTGTGCATATTTAATCCAGGTGTGTTTGCCAATCTAATGAAGGCATGATCTCCTTTGGGATGGGAATCTCCTTGTTTATGTTGTCTCTTTTGTGTGTTGATACACAGATCTAAAGTTTATACCCATTTGTTCTTGCATCAACATTGTCCTTTAGTTTAAATAGCAATTTGTCCAGTGAGTGGATTACAGAGGCAAGGGTGATCATTCGGAACCTCAGAAGGTAGATGAAGATATTCAGCTGTGTGAAATCTAGTGTAGGTCTCCAGCCTCCTTTCTTGGGGATAAGAAAATATCTTGACTAAGACCCTTTTCCCCATGCTGGTGTGGCACCAACACTATAGCTCCCAGTTGGAGCAGGGAGTCTCCTTTCTGCCTGAATATCCGCTCATGAGAGGGGTCCCTGAAGAGGGACAGAAAAGGGGGCTTGGGAGTGGGAATTGGCAGGAACTCTATTCTGTATCCAGTGGTCATGATTTCCAGTATCCATTTGCCTGACATTATATGGTAAAAACGAGCTAGGGGGCAATCTGAGCCAGGTAGACTTGATGGAAGGATTGGTTTGTCTCTCTTGGAGGGGACTCCTTGATGGGAGGCTGCGGCTGGGAGGATAAGGAGGAGGAATGTTTTGTTTTCTGGGCTATAGTCTTCCATGCTTTCTAGAGAGGGGTCATAAGCCTTCAGGTGATGGAAAGGTTGAGGAATAGAGCATTGTTGATGGCAAGACAGTCTTAGGATATTTTCTCCATGGTGCCAAGGTACAAATACCCAGACAGCATTCGTTGTCTTGAGTCCTTGAGGGTATGTAATAATTCATCTGTTGTCTCGCTGAACAGGTTAATTTCCTTGAAGGGAAGATCCTCCATGGTTGATTGGACTTCCTTGGGGAATCTAGAGGATTCCCATCTCATGACAAGATGTTGCCACCAGGTGGGAAGCTGTGTCCGCTGCATCTACCGCAGCCTGGAGGGCAGATCTGACTATCAATTTATCTTCCTCAATGATTGCTTGGAACTGCAGCCTGTGTTCCTTAGGCAGCTTGTTGACAAATTCAGAGAACCTAATTAAAATTAATGACAAACCATGATTTTGCTAAAGCCCGATAGTTTGCTATACAGAACTGTAAACTTGCAGAAGCTACGTTCTTTGCATTTGGTCTCTAACCGTGGGTGTAGATCTGGGTTGGTGTTGCTTGTTCCATTCAGTGGCAGCCTACATCAAAGAGTTCAGAGCGGGATCGAAGAACAATTATTAAACACCTGTATACAGTACAACATACTTCTCCATTCTTTTTATAGTGGGAATGTAGATGACGAGTGGCCAGTAAAGCTAGGATCTGCATTCTGGAGAATGTCCAGTAACTTATGAGGTGTACCCTGTACTTCTTCCAGGGAGATCGGGAGCATATCTGCAGTTCTCCTTAGGATGTCCTGGAACAGTTTATAATCATCCAGTGGTGATGGTGTGACCATCTCATCCAGTGAGGATGATAAGCCCGGTAAAGCGTTCCCACTGATCTCAGATTCATCCAAGGACAACAAGGCCTCTGTATCAATGGACGGCACAGTTGATACCAGTGGTGGATGGTACTGGTGCGTATTGAACTAGTGGTATCAGAACTTCTCTTGCTAGGACCACATCGATTCCAGGCCTGCATAAATATACTATTCCTGAGGACCTTAATATCTGACCCCTGTAGCTAGTGGAAGAATAGGGCTTCTGTTATTGGCAGACTTGGAGGGGATGTGAGCTTTCCTCAGGCAATACACAAGTGTCAAGGCCATCATTGACCAGGAAAGTCACGGGGCAGACCATGCAGAGATCTTGAATCCTGGAGGGGACTACCACCTCAGACCAATAAAAACTAACCCTAACACTAAAATTAATCAAACTGTTATCAGAACAGGAGAACTATTTATACTAATAAAACAAAGAATGCTAGCTAAAGAAGCAGACACTAGAGATTTTCCATCTCAGACAACAAGTGGTAGAAAGTAACTGTAGAGGCAGGCAGTCTGCTCTGCCCTTATGCCCTTGGTTAAGAGCACAAGGAGGTGCAGGGTATAGGCACAGACCAATTGACATGTTAATGAAAAGTCTTCTGGTCTCAGGTGCATACCCCTCACATGTGCACCTCAAGTGGAATACATGTAGGAGCCATCACTCAAATAAGGATGATAGTTACTTTTTGTCCCCACCTGACATTTCTGCCTAAAGCAGTCATGGGATTCCAAATCAAAATTATTTTATTCACTTAACCAGTGTTTTTTCCAAGACCCCATTCTTCTTCTGCAGAAGCTAAACTCCACACTTTGGATGTGTTAAGGGTGATCTCATATTACTTCAATAGGACAAAAAAACTACTTCAAATCACCAAGATTACTTATATCTTTTGGTAACAGATCCAGCGGATAGGCTGTTTCTACACAAAGACTCTCAAAATAGGTGTTGGACTGCATTAGAATTTATTATGAACTGAGTAAGTTAACTCCACCTTCTCAAATCAAGGCATACTCCACTAGAACCCAGGTAACCTCCTAGACTTTTTTAAGAGACATCCCTATACCTGAGATCTGGTAGAGCGGCTAGCTCGAGCTCGAGACATACCTTTACAAGCCATTATTCTTTAGAATTGGCCTCTATATCAGATGCAGGCCAGTCTTACAGTCCTTATTTAAATAGGACTCTGGTACCCATCACCTTGCAGAGCCCATTGCTTGCTGTTCACCTAGTATGGGATCTGTGTGGACAAATACTCAAAAAAAAGTGGTTACTTTCCTTACAGTAACTGTGGTACTTCAAGATGTTTTTACTACCAGGATCCCACAACCTGTCCTCCTCGCCCACTAAAGTGAAGTCCTCTAGCGTTGGGGATTTTGTATTGGTGACGGAACTGAATGGCAGTTGGGGCTGCTTTGCCCCTTTATACTTTCAGATGAGGAGCATGAGGACATACAGGGTAATCGGGCACTAACAGACACTGCTGGCCAAAAGTCACCTTTTGTGAGCCTGGGGCCTGTGCATAGCTAGAATGGGATCCATATAGACAGACAAACATCTTGAAGAACCAGTTAGTGTAAGGTAAGTAACAGTCTTATTTCATGATTGGTTTCTGTTCTCTTCCCTAGATCCTATGTCTAACCCCCTGACCTTAGTTAATTGGCATTCATTGCTATGTACAACTTAGATTTTAAGATGCTTGGGATTGGGACCTGTAACTTTTTAATTTGCCTGTAAATCACAAGGGCATATACCTATGGAACTGTATCAATGTGTGTTCGCAGAAGTGTCATGAGAAGGCCATACACTAAACCATGAGTAGTAATATCTAACATTATTTGTCATAACATCATTATGGAGAGTACCATAAATTATATACTAATAATAGGTGATACTACCAGTGATACTACTATAATGCTCCTGACCAATATCAGTTTTTTCCTTCCTGTTGCCGCAGAACAGAATTTTTGCTGAATTCTTATCTTGGTGTTTATACTCTAAAACACATAAGCCTTTTAAACCTGTGTAGTTCGTTTACCTGGTGCGATTTGTAGAAGAACATACAGAAGTTGGTGAATACCACCCAGAGCTTCTGCCACCCATTGCTGTTCTTGAATTTTCTTAACAGGTTTCCAGAGAGCTGATTCTGAAATGGATGAAAGTAATAAAATAGACATGCACAACCAAATCATAATTAATGATGGAAAGTAGCCAAACCTCATGTAAAGAATATTTACTTTTCTATTTAAATTAATATATTATTCCTATTGGTCATTAAACTTGGTATTAAACTTTCAGAATCAGAAATCCCTCTCATTCTTTAAATGAGGCTTGTCTATAATTTATTTTTTGTAAGAAAAATGATCTGCTGTTACCTTGTTAGATGCAGAAACCCTTTTGTTGGATGGGATAGCTTAATATGATAAATTACAATTAAGTTTTTAATTACTTATAAAATAGTGCACTAGTTAGTATTCTTTTAGAGGCCAATTAGAGGCGGGCAGTTTTCTTCACTAATACATTAAGCCCCCTGTGTACAGTTATTAATAGCTATTTACATTTTTCTTAAACTAACTAAACAGAAACTATGAAATATAACCAAAACCTATTACATTTTAAATAATGTTTTACCTCTTTTGTACAGGTCTTAAACTACTATAACTTTTTAAAAAAATGCTTGGCCTTTGTCAGTGTGTTTTTAGGAGCCTAATGTACCACACCTCATCCAGCCTGCATGTCCCATTCTTTCCCTGGGCCCTACATGGTGCTAGAAGCAATTGGATTTTTAGTAATGAGAAATTCAACAGATTTCCTTTGTCTTCTTTTTAATGTCATCCCATGTCCTTTGCTTAAGTGACTCAGCCTCTCCTAGTCCTCCTCCACTTCACAGTGCCTGAATGGTGGTTCTTTCAGATACTGCTTCCCTTTTATAATTAACAAGAGGCAGTGTTTCTACAAAAAAAAAGAACAGGAGTACTTGTGGCACCTTAGAGACTAACACATTTATTTGAGCATAAGCTTTCGTGGGCTACAGCCCACTTCTTCGGATGCATAGAATATCATGTTTTTCTTTCTACCTTTTGTCCTATTATTTCTGCCCATCCATTCTCCACAGATACATGTACAATCAATGCTCTCTTCCACAGCTCTGTGGCTCCTACAATATTTCTGCATGCTGTACTGCTACCTGATCTTTTTAAACATAGAACAAAGCTAGTACAGCACCCAGGAAGGACTCAGCACCCTGGAAGCTGATTGTGCAATACCCTTACAGTGCAGACGTGGTACCAGTGTACCAGCTGAGCAATTCTCTGCCTGTAAAATAAGCTTCAATCTACCATTCAAAAACACTGTGTCCCTAGTTGTACAACTGTATAATGTTAAGTATTGCACAGTCCTCAATACATAATACTGTCAATTAACCCCTGAATTTGCAGCAATGGCTATTTAATTCTACTAGCCCTGATTAACTGCTACTAGCAGAAAAAAAAATCAGCAGGTAAAACACATTTTACCAAGAATGATGTTAACGTATTCTTGACATTCCCCCACCCCCTTTCCTGCACTGGGTTTACATTGAATGTATTTTTAAATCCTTGTTTTAAATCATCCTAGCCTCTCTCTTTTCAGTTTTAAAATTGGATTGTGTTCAAAATTGTGTTTGACCTAAATTGCACATAATTGTATTCCTTAATTTTTTTGTTACCTCATTACTCTGGAGGATATCATAAAAGGACAGGCTTTGCATTCGGTACCAGCAGACATATGAAATGGAAACAGGCCGCTGATCACTGATCAGTCCAGCAGGTAGGGAAGAACAGTCATTGACAGTTAGAGGATCTTCTACCACAAGAAAGAAAGACAGAAAGGAGGGAGAAACACAGAAAGAGAATAAACGATAATGCTTAAGTGAAAGCCATCCACAGAGTGATGTGAGCATGAATGGTAACCTGCCAAGGATGGGAACAGCTGTGCAACTGAAGATGTATGTATACACAATGATATGTGCCTCTAGATTGTTTAGTCTCCACTGTTTGCTAGTAACATTTTAAGTGTGGGAAGGAAAAAGTAGTGCAGTAGCGAGCTAGCCCTCAAAACATAACTAAATTTTTTATCATTAAAATTGTTAAGAAAATTAAATCAAATTTTATTAAATTGGCTTTGAGAAATGGCCACATTTATACACTAAGGTGATATTAACAAATGCATGAAAGTTACCATGCAAGTGTTAAAAATCAGGTGTCTTGGCTTGCCCCACAACTCAGCTACATGCTGGGTCCTGCCTGGTATATCATCTACTTAGTACATACTATACTGATATCCTAGCAAAACAAGGGGTCAGAATCAAGCTCTTGTGAAATTGTGTGTGTGTGTGTGTGTGTGTGTGTGTGTGTGTGTGAGACTCTCTCTCTCCCCCCCAGGGGAGGTTTTCTAGTACAAGGGCAATAGTATCAAGTCAAATTTCTGGCATTTCAGCCTGTTTCAAAATAGAGCTAGAAATGAATATTGTGAACATTATCCCCATTTATTTTTTGAAAGTTTTTACATTAGCTGTAACTATTCTTGCAAATTGAAGAGTATGGCTTAAGAAGACACTGCAGATAAAGTGTATGCATAGTCCCTGGCCCATAGATCATCATAGGTAGAGCAACCTAGAGGCATTTTCCAATGAAATGGGTGTCCTAGTGTTGCCTTAAAGAAGCTAAACCAATTTACAATCTACTTAAGTTTTCCCTAACTGTTTTCTTTGAGCATAAACATAATTTCCAAGAGGTCTGTAGATAGATAATAGCACTCAGTACTCCCTCCGGTCTTTACTTTCCTATCTAACTTACATTCTCTGCTCTGTTTTGGAGTGAGAGTTACGAGGGAACACCTAAGCAGGACCCATAAACAAAATTTCTTACATCCTCTTTCAATTCCGCATGAACTTCTTAAAATACATTTAAAACTCGAAAAATCACTTATTTAGATTTCAGCCATTCTACAAAAGTAATTAAGTATAATATTTCTAAGACCTGAGGCCTTTCTAGTTAGTATTCCCATGATTCCTAACATTTTGTATGAAATTGGTTTAGCTGTGATCAAAATAAAAATTACATTGTTTTCTCTGTGATGTGGAAAGTACAAATAAAAAATAAGGCAGAGAAAAATAAGCCGTGAGCATATTAAGGTCCTAGAAAAAGATGGCTAAAGTAAAGAAAGTAAGTTAGTATAGAAAACCAAGGAACAAGGCTGCAGAGGCCAGAGACAATGTCCTTTCAGCACTACTAAGTCATCAATAGGTATTAGCAAACAAAAATAGTCAAAGGGAGTTTTCTTTGGTGTGATCTGAAAGTTTAGACTTTCAACATCAAGTTGGCATTTAAAAATGCAGGTTATTTTAGTGAAAATAGAATCAAATTGATTTTAAGAGATTGCTAAATAAATCATCCAAGTTTACATTTTTGCCAAATATTGTTATCTGACAGAGGGGGGATCGCTAGTGCAGTTGTGTTGAAACTCCAAAAAGCAAATAAAGGGGTGTTGAATTTAATGAGAGGCGGCCAATGTCTAGAGTAAAAAGAAAATGGTCACTGAAGAGACATTCTCTGGAGCTGCAGTTCAGATTGTTCTGAGGCAGATACCTCCACAGCAATACTAAAGTCGATCATTGAAACGCTGGTATTTCTGTGCCAGCAGACGTGCACCGTAGTGTTGCCACGGTGTGGGGACTGACGTTCAAGTGAGGTGCGGGATGCACTGAGATCGTCCTCTGATTCCTGGTCTACAGTAGTTTCATCAGGAGACTCTATGAAATTCAGGGAAAAAGCATCTTTCTTGCAACATACATGATTGGAAAAATTATTAAACATGAAGGTCCAACGCAGCTAAGAGGTTTATATTTTCACAATTCCATGAACTGATTTTAGTCAACAGTCTTCTATAAATAACACTGCTCTACAGCCAAAATGCTTCTGAAATAAATGTAGTCAAAC